GTGTTCCTTGAAACAACAGCCTTGAGGTGGATTTTTTAAAAAATAATACAATCAAATGTATGATCTTTCCCTGTATGGCTTTTATTTATTTATTTTTTTATTAAAGTATGAACACAGTGTACTTTGGAATCATTTTCAGACTTGGAGGAAAGTTTCAGGAGTGACACACTCTCATGGGCCCCCAGAGTCCCAGTTGCTTCCCGCCTCGTCCATTGTCCTCTGTGTTCTCTGCACACCCGCTCACCAGTGTCCCCCTGCTCCGGCCCTGCACAGTGGTCTGAGGGCATCAGCCATGTGCTTCCCGTGTGCCTCAGCATGTGGTGTTCCTGGTGTGCTTCCCAAGAACAGGGGCACTCACCTACTTAGCCACGGGAGCGTTCCACAGTCGTGAAGTTAACAAACACAGAATTGTGTTTTTTAATGTACAGTGGTTATTCAGGTTTTGACGGTTTTCCTGAAAGTGTGCTATAGCCGAAAATGAGTTTCTTTTTGTCTGGTTCAAGTTTCAGTTCGGGATCATGGAGTGCATTTTGTTCTTAATTCATCTGGGAAAATTATGTATCCTTGTCTCTTATGACTTTGACATTTTTGAAGAGGACAGGCTCTCTATTTAGTAGACCCAGGCTCAGCACGGATTTGCAGGTGTCTCTGCAGAACTAGATCTTAGTTGTGTATTTGGTCAGGACTCTTGTCGCCAAGGCTGTGGCCGTCCCGAGGGCATCACTTATGGAGGCGTGTGGTGAAGGTGCTTTCCACTATCTGTCCTTATCAAATTCTTCCCTACCCTGTGTTCTGGTATGTTTTGCATGTTCCTATGAAAATTGTGAAGTGTTTTTATTTATTTTTTATAGTTAAGATACAAATTTGCCTGAACTTGATTAAATTGATTGATTTTCAACTTACTGAGAATTTCAAGAAAATGTAAAATAGAATAGTACAGTGTAGCATCATTCAGCTTCAATATTTATTGGTACAAAGTTAGTCTTGTTTTATCTGTAATTTGCAACCCTCCTATCACAGACACAAGTTCATCTGAACATATTTCAGATAGTGTCTCTGAAAAGTGAAGGCTTTACAAAGACAACCGTAATAGAATTATATTTTGAAAAACTCTCTGAATGTCAGTGTTTTATATTACTGCTGGTCTCATGTAAGTATCAGTGTGTCGTGCACACGGCACGGTGTGGGTGTGGGTCTTGTATGCTCTGTGCCGCCTGTGGGGTCCACAGCAGGTCCTAGATGGCATCTGACAGGTCGGTTTTCCGACCGTTGTTTCATCTGCAGGTTTTCATGCATCTGTGTCTTAGTTCTCTGCAACTTTTTGAAGAAACAAGGTGGTTTGTCTTGTGGAGTTTCTGCTTCTGCTGATTGTGCCCCCTGCAGTGTTAGTGGGTTCTTTCGTTTCCTTCATTTCTGTGAGTTAGCAGGTCTAGAAGTTGATGGGGTTAGGCTGGAAAATGGGCAGGGGGAGGGGTGACCCGAGTGGCCTTCTGCAGACTGCTGGACTCCTCTGAAGTGCCAGGCTTGATTCCTTACTTCGGTGCACCAGTTTTCAAAGTAGTGGCTCAGTTCCTTAGCCGCCTCTGAGGGGGAGTCCTGTTCTTGAATCCTTTCGAACTAACAGATTTAAATACTACACGTGTATTTTGATTCATCGCAGTTGTTATTTTTATTAGTATTTGAACCGCTCTCCTGTCTGGTCAGTGGGACTTGCAGTTGTCAAGAAGTGAGTCGGCTTCCTGCGCTGGTGGAAACTGGGCTTGGTGGTGATGTGAGGCAGGCTCCGGTTTTTCCTGTCCGTCCTGGTGTGAACGGCCCTGTCCCAGCGCTGCTCACCAGCACGTGCTTCCTCTCTCCATACACCTTCAGTGCGCGTTTGCATGTGGAGGTGCTGTATCGTGAGTTTCTTCTATACGTTAAAAGCATTAAACAGCCTCTTCCATATACTGGATGGTAGAGGGAGAAATTTGAACGCTGAGAAGAGGGAGTCAGAAATTGTTCTGACCAGCTCTTGCCACGATGTTGCATTAATGGTACATTTGGAAGAAGCTGGTGCCATTGTTGCACCAACACCTGAAGTTTTTACGTTTTTCTGAAGGATGTGCCTGTGTCAGTGTATGTCTGGAGAAGGATGGCATAGTCGGGGCTCTGACCGGAGGTCCTTGGATGACGGGGCTGCGCGCAGGACAGGGTCAGGGAAGCAGGAAGAGTTGGTGCGGTGGGCGGAGCAGCGGGCCTGGGGGGAAGAGGGGGCGTCCTAGAGCCCAGTGGGCGTCGCAGTGGTGGCAGTGGGTGGGACTGGACTGTGCAGGTAGCGGGGAGGGACAGTCTCTCTTCTGTTGGGTCATCCTATGGGCCAGAGCCATCCAGAAGCAAAGTCCAGGAGAGCCTGCATGAGTCTTCCCAGAGAAAGCTTCCAGGGAAACGGAGCTGGCAGAGACGGGAGGAGGGTGGCCTGGAGAGGGAGGCACGCCGGGGGCACGGACTGCGTACAGGGTGTGTTGTCACTCACACTTGCGGTTTTGAAAAGCTGTGGCCCCGAGGCTGACCACAAAATACTTGTTTCCTGAAAGGGTCTGTCCGGGCGCACCTGTTTGCTAGTGAGAGTGAACTTGCTCTCAGAGAGTGACTGTCCCGAATCCGGGGTCAGAACGGCGGCCAGAGAGGTGGTTCTCTCTGACGCAGCGAGGGCGGGCAAGGGCCTGAGGGGTCTCGCAGCTGAGTCCAGGAGGCCCCTCAGTGGTGCTGCGCTGCGCTGCTTTCCTCGCACACCTCATACGGCCGCCCTACCCGGTGGGGCGCTGCGGCCCGGCTCTGTGCGCGGGCCTGATTGGGCTGGTCACTCCCACGAGTCCCTTGTTGGTTTTGGTGACAGTTGGTGTGCTTTTGGTAGTGCTTTATATTTTAAAGCTTTCTTTCCTTTTGCACACATCTTTTGTAAGGGTCCAGCAGGTGAGGACAGTAGGGACGTGCATTTGCTCTCTGTGTGGGGTTTGGGCGTAGTAGTTAGGGTTTGGACCCTGGAGCTAGAGCCACTCAAGGTTCACCTTTTGGCTTTGCTGCTTCCTAGGTTGGTGACCTCGAGCCAAGTATTTAACATGTCGGTGTCTTTGTTTTCACATTTTGAAAAATGGGGGATAATGTAAATATGTACGTGACGGGGTTGTCACGCCAGCAAAAAAGCTAGTACACGTGAAGCACTTAGAGGGGCTCCTGCACACGATGTGCTAAGTGGGTGTTCACGGTTTCTTGAGCTGCCGTTGATGTCTGTTGTGCTTGTGTGGACCTAACCCTCCTGTCTCCCGTCCTGCTGTTGTCTTTGGTAGTCGCAGAAGCAGCTGTTCTCGGTCTCCGAGTACTCCACTCACTTACACCGTCAGCGATCCTTTATCTTCTTTTTAAAAATACTTTTGTTTGGGAAGAATAGGTGGTCATCAAAGACTGATTTCTGACTTCTGTATACATCCCTTGTTAGCAAACATTACAGAGAAGCTTCTGGATTTTTGCTTGTATATTTACCAACGCCTTTTTGTATTCTGGTTTTCAGAGTTGTCCGTATCCCCTGGGCGGATGCTGTTGCCTTTCATTTTCAGTTATTTTGAGTGATGGCCTGGCATGGGTGCCTGTCTGCAAAGGGGAGGGTGTCTGTTTTGGTCATCTGGAATCCGTTCTCAAATGGGGTTCCTGTCAGTATGGTGACTAGGTCCTTTTTTCCTCACTCACAGAAGATGATTTTAACACTGAAGATGCAGACATTGTATCTGAAACTGATTAAGGGGATTTGTGGAAATGCTGGAGGAAGTTCCGTGTTACTCTCTGCTAGTCGTCTTATTCATACAGGTGTGTGGAAGATTTTCCCCATGGGTAACTTCCTGTCCTGGGTCTGTCCCTGCTGCGTGACTTTGGACAGTTATTGAATCTCTTACCCTTGTTTTCTTTATCTATAAAACGAAGGTAGAGGATTTATAGAGAGTAACAAGATAACAAAAAGGTGTTCAGTGCAGGAATGAAAAGATTTGTTGAGTTATTTCTGGTTCTGAAAGGCGGTGTATAGAAACAGGCATTTCTGTTCCAAGTCCAGGAGGCATTCCTGTGTGTTCTGGTATTCTGCAAAGTCGCACACTATGAGTGCACACGGTTTTTGGATGACGCTGTACCCCAAACCTACAGAAATTTGTAACCAGAGTGCTTATAAAAAAATTAATAGCCCTAATAAGAATCGTGGTGCATTTACACCTGGAAGCATAGTCTGATTGTTTTCTCCTTCTAGAGGTTGTCCTTAAAAGGCATTTGTTCCTAAGACACTGGGTTCCCCAGCGCTAAGAATATAATTCAGTGGTAGCCATCTTCACCAACCCCCCAGTACATACAGTGGGAAATTTCTTTAGCTTTTTGATCTGGTAAGGGTTTTGAGTTTAATTGTGACATGATGTACTCCTGATCACTTCAGAACATAACCATGCTGACAAAACAATTTCAGACTACTGAAGGACTTGCCATGTTTTACAAAGATAATTCTGTTAGTCACGATGATTTACTTGTATGCTCTCATCAGCCTTGGTTTTTGTTGTTGTTTTTTCTTCTTCTTCATCTTTTCCGGTTTTGCCGTGTCAGATGGTCTCTGGTTTTGGTTTTAATTTTCCTAGTTAACGACGGTGGATAGGTTTTTCAAGGCAGGAGAAAGCATAGATGTTACCTATTGGAGTTCCTTCTTTGACTGATTACTGAACAGGTCCAAGAAATAGAGGTCTCATATTACGTGAAAAACCGACATCAGAAGTCTAGTGAGCGCCATCTCCTCGAGCAGAGCCTCCCACACTTAAAAGACCACATGTTCCCTATACGTTTGCAAATGTTCTCAGTATTAACCAAGAAAAAGGGAAGCGAAGCAAACTAAGCAGGAAAGTACCCACACCCTGAAGTCCCGAGATTTCCCGGTGATTTGCAGACTTTCCAGCGATGTAGGATTAATGCATTGGCCTTTTTTTCTTTCTCCCCAGCGAACTTGAAGATGACTTACTTGGAGAAGATTTGCTGTCTGGCAAAAAGGTAAGAAACCGAGGTCTTCCAGAAGCCGGCCTCCAGCTGCCTCATTGTACTCAACATCTAGGGATGCGTCTCATGAGTGCGACATGGCACTGGAAGGTTGGGCGCAGATCCCAGTGTGTGGAGTTGAATCATCTTTTAAATGCACAGAAAGGTTCCTTTTTGTTCAGTCTGTTTGTTAACAGTAGCTTCTACCTCAAGTGGTTGGTCCTTTCATGCAAATATTTTTGCTCTCCCTCAGTCCAAGGCACTCTAGGAGGTGTTGAGTTTGTGAAAGCAGCAACATAGAACCTCCACTCGCTCACAAGAAAACTAACATTCGGAGGCTAATAGTTTGCATTCCTTTCTTGAAACTCTGGAGATAAGCTCAAAGATAGCTGTATTCAGATGTGACACAAGTGAGAATAAAAGTCTAAAACCTAATACAGGTTTCTCTGAACCTTTTTGATCAAGCAAAACTTCTCAGTAATTAACTCTGATACGTGTGTATCTATATATAATGTCTGTATAATGTATATATATGTTTCTATTACTCTACCAATAGCATTATAAAACATACATTAAAAATAGAAACACAAATCCAGAGATTAAAGTGAAAATAGTGAATTTTTATTTTATTTGTTAACAGTTTAAAAACACTTGCTATTCTTACTAAATATGGTAAGTTTTTTATGTTTAGTTTTTTAAAGTCTTAAGATTGTGGTCGTTTGGGGCGCCTGGGTGGCTCAGTGGGTTAAAGCCTCTGCCTTTGGCTCAGGTCATGATCTCAGGGTCCTGGGATTGAGCCCCGCATCGGGCTCTCTGCTCAGCGGGGAGCCTGCTTCCTCCTCTCTCCCTGCCTGCCTCTCTGACTACTTGTGATCTCTATCAAATAAATAAATAAAATCTTTAAAAAAAGAAAAAATTAGTGGAGTTCCCTGTAGATCCACTTGGTCTCAAGAGGAAATGTCAAAATGCTGAAAGTGGAAAACCTGTGAGATGGTCCCTTAGCCTTCCCTTGTTTGAGGGGCTCACTCTCTGGCCTCAGGGTGCCCTGCATGTTTCGTGTGATTGGGGTGCAGGGCTAGTCCTTCCAAGGTCACGGTCCCGAGAAAGTGCTGCCGTTTTCTTTGAGACTCAGTGCTAATTACTTTCCACATCTTTGAAGTGTCGTCACTGAACTTGGGAGTTCACTGCCCTAATACGAACACGGTTTTCCCCTCTGTGATTCTTTAAGATACTTCAGTGAAGAATACCATTAGATGTTAAAGTGTTTAAATGTGGTAAGATATTTTTACCTAAGTTGGACTTCTATCCTCGGGTGAGCCTGGGGCAGCGTAGTTTGCCCCATATCTGTCAGGGTGACCCACCAGCCCTAATAATTCTTTTGGTGAACATTTGTCTCCATCCTGTGAAAGCTTTGGTCAGGTCTCTTACCAAGAAAGATGGAAAAGCAGTTTGGTTTGGGCAGTAATGCCGACTCTTCTGGGAAAGTCGTCTCACTTTCTCTTACTGGACTAGTTGATCGGTGTGATTGGCCTCCTTTCTTACAGAACAGGAGCCCTAGAGGGCTCTGTCTGGGCGGGAGAGCCCGTACCCACTTTGGTCATCTGGGAAGTTTGATTGGGAACCGTGTGTACTCCTCTCTCCTTTCCTCCCCTCTTCTTTCCTAACGCTATAGCTTGTAGAGTCAAAGAGCTCAAATAGATATATATATATCTATAAAAGAAACAATGAAGAAAAAAAACAGATATAAGCCCTCATGACATTTTGCCATATATATTTCCTTATATTCTTTTTTCATATATTTTTAAAATATTTTATTAATTTATTTGACAGAGATCACCAGTAGGCAGAGAGGCAGAGAGAGAGGGGGGGAGCAGGCTCCCTGCCGAGCGGAGAGCCCGACGTGGGGCTCGATCCCAAGATGCCAGGATCATGACCTGAGCCAAAGGCAGAGGCTTTAACCCACTGAGCCACCCAGGCGCCCCTGTTTGTTTCATTTTTAAGTAGAAATCAAGTCTCCCTTTCTTTTTTCTGTCTTTACTTTTTTTCCTAATATGTGTACATTCAGGGGGCGTCTTTTAGAGGGGTGTGGTACTTCATGTATAGTCTGAAAGTAATTTGAATATGGGAGCAGAGTGTGAGGGACACCCGTGTGAGTGTACAATGCTGGGCTCTGTTCAGCTTAACAAAACCTGGAACTGTAGGAAGTTGAGCAGTTGACAGAAACACTCGGCTTCCTCCGCCTGCTGGTGTGATGAACGCACAGGCCTGTCGAGAGCAGGGGTGGGGCCCTGAGCCAGGCATGTTTGCCTCCGCGTGTCATCTCTGTTAACAAACTGAAGCTCTGTTGCCGTCCCTTACCTTTCAGTCTGGCAGTCTGGTTATTTAAGATCTACTTTCTCCTTTTTTTTTTTTTTTTTAAGATTTTATTTGTCTCTTTATTTGAGAGACGAGGGCATAAGTGGGAAGAAGGGGCAGGGGGCAGAGAACAAAGCAGATTCCCCATTGAGCAGGGAGCCCAACTCCTTGCTCAGTCCCAAGGACCCTGGGATCGTGACACAAGTCAAAGGCAGACGCTTAACTAACTGAGGCACTCAGGCGCCCCTAAAATCTGCTTATTTCTAAAATTCTACTTTTTTTTTTTAAGGTTTCAGATTTTGGAAACTAACAGTGTTAAAATTAGTAAAATTTTTTTTTCAAGTTTTAATTTTAATTCCTGTTAGTTAACATACAGTGTAATATTAGTCTCAGGTGTACAGTGTAGTGGTTCATCACTTTCTTGCACCACCCAGTGCTCATCACAGGACGTGTCCTCCTCAGTCCCCATCACCTGTCTCCCCTTTCCCCTGCCCTGTCCCCTTCCGGTGTCAGTTTGTTCTCTGTAGTGAAGAGTCTGTTTCTTGATTTGTCTCTTAGTTTTTCATTTTTCTTACTCTGTTTCTTAAATTCCACATAGGAGTAAAATCAAATGTAGTCAAATCTTAAGGATACCATTGTTTTTTGTGTGTATGATAGGGAGAAATATTTGTAGGATACTGCCAAAGGACTCTTCCTTTTTCCTTTTTTGTTAGATTTAGAATAAATGTGATCATTAGGCCCGTTGCTTCTATACTGACTTGACTCTGCCTCTGAACGTTTGTGTGGGGTCACAGGTAACCCGTACGTGGGGTTTCTCGTTGTCGGCTGGTGGTGTCCAAGTGAGGTAGCTCACGGAATGGCACGTGCTCTAGTAACAGGGCTGGAAACCGTATAGTCAGTGGGATTTTGCACATTTGTAACAGGTCTTTTTGTGGAAGTGGCACGCATTAATTCGATTTCTTACTTTAATTAGAACCAGTCGGATTTGTCAGACGAAGAGCTGAACGATGACCTCCTGCAGAGTGATAACGAGGACGAGGCAAACTTCAGGTATTCCTTAGTAGCCCGTCAGACATTCTCTTTGTTTAACCAAACTGTTAGTAACTGGAGTTTATAATTATAGTGGAATATAACTGATGATGTGACTTTGTATTTTCAACATGATTTTATTTTAAACAGGATAGTAATACACCTGTCTTATGTGGAAGCCATATGTATTTTGTGTAAATAGATATGGGTCTTGTGTTTGATGGCCTCTGTAAGTTCTCTTGCCTGCAGGTTATGAAAACTCAGTGAAGGTATGTACTGCTCTTTCTTCTTTCTTTTTTTAAGATTTTATTTATTCATTTGACAGAGACCGAGAGAAAGGGAGCACAGTAGAGGGAGTGGGAGAGGGAGAAGCAGGTTTCCTGCCAAGTGGGGAACCCGATGTGGAGCTCGACCCCAGAACCCTGGGATCATGACCTGAGCCCAGGGCAGGCAGACACCTAAGCACTGAGCCGCGCAGGTGCCCCTGTACTGCTCTTCTTTAAAGAATCCCTTCATTCGGATGGGGGCGGTGGCCTTAGGCTCTTACTACTGTTGGCTGCAGTTTGATGTGGCTGCTTTGTATTTTAGGCAGTTTTTGCTTATCTGTAATCTGTTTACTCAGTTGCCATTTTGGAAATTCCTTTGGACTATACTTTATTTTTATTATTTTTTAAGATTTTACTTAATTATTTGAGAGAGAGCGTGTGAACCTGAGGGGTGGGGTGGAGAGGCAGAGGGAGAAGCAGACTCCCTGCTGAGTTGGGAGCCGGATTTGGGGCTGGATCCCAGGACCCATGAGATGGTGACCTGAAGACAGCTGCTTAACCAGCTGAGCCACCAAGATGACCCTAGACTGTACCTTGGACTCTAGCGGACTCTCTGAATGTAATTGTTTCAGTGAACGTAGTTATTTTCGTCTTTTTCAGCTGTTTTAACAAAACAGTATGAGCTGGGTAGTTCATAACAGAAATACATTTCTCACATTTCTGGAGGCTAGGAAGTCCAAGGTTAAGGCATCAGCGTGGTCAGTTTCTAGTTTCCGGTTCTTCCGTGGTGCCTTCTTGCTGTGTCTTCACAGGGTTGAAGGGTGAAAGAGTTCCCTGGGGCTCTCTCTGTAAAGGCACTGATCCCATTAGTGGGACTCCAGCTTTTTATGACCTTTCCGATCATCTCCCAAAGGTCCCACCTCCAGGTACCATCACCCTGGGTGTGTTATAGATTCAGCAGGATGAGTTTTGGGGGACACAGATATCCAGTCCACAGCGATCAATGAATGTCTGTAGTAAGCTCCATTATTAGAGGAAGAGGTATTTAGTATCCTCTGGCAGGTGGAGTAATTTTTTTCAGTGTTAATGAGGAAACCTTTACTGTGAAAATTTAAAGAGACATCTTTCAGCTATAAGTGAAGTTAATAAATACATGTGCCATTTATTACTGAGCTACAGATCTGTGACAGGCTTTCTAACTGAAAGTAACTTTTATGGATAGAGATACGGTTTTAAGTTAGTTTTTCCTCCCAGCTATTTAAGTGTCCCTGTTCCATTCTTTGATACCATTATTATATTTTGATTTTTTGAGTAGTTAAGTTTGCCCTCGAAATGTGGCAGTTTGGAGTTTTTCGCCAAGTAATGTCTTCAGGTCTGTGTGATGTATTGCGGTTTCTTGTTAGGATTACATACCTCACTCATATGTGTGCACTTAGGTGTTTTTGCAAAATTTTGCACTGTAAGTGTTGTTTTCTTGCAGTTTACTGTTTGGCATGTAGCTGTTCTGATTCCATGGGTGGAATAAGATTTTTTTTTTTTGCAGTTTTAAAAAACCCTCTTTGGTATTTTACTCAAATTATAAACTAATTTTTTAGAAATTGGTGATTTGTACAAATTTTATTTATTTGAACATTGAAGTGCATTTTCACACACATCTTTAATATTTTGATTTTTGTAAAATAGGAGTTTATAGTTTGCGTCATAGATTTATAAGAACAAATTACTCTAAAACTCGATTTCTGATGTTCTACTTATAGAGTAATATTCCTGTTTTTGCTCTGGGATCTTGGAAAACAGATACCACCCTTTTCGTTCTGGAAGTTAGAGTGCAGTGCGGTCTGTTTGTTTCCAGTCCTGGCGTTCTGCCAGTGAGACTTGGTTCCCCACCTGGTCGATCTGATTCTCTCGGGCAGGTGACCCGCAGCAGACGGTCGTGCGGGTGCCGTCTGCGTCAGGAGCGTGGGGTGCAGGCTCAGTACGGCACGCCGAGCTCTCCTGTCAGTCACCAGGGAGTAATGCGGGTTTCTCGGTCCCTGGAACTTTTCACCGGTCACGGTTATTGAGGTAGTGATGCAGTTTTGAGATTGATTCTCACTGGGCACCTTTCTTTGTGTTGTTGTTCTCTTTAGTTCTCAGGGTGTCACAATTAGTTTAAACACCACGTCGGGCATGGTCACGTCGTTCGAACTGTCTGACAACACCAACGACCAGTCTGGAGAGCAGGAGTCCGAGTACGAACAGGGAGAGGACGAACTTGTCTACCACAAATCGGATGGCTCCGAACTGTACGCTCACGACTACGCAGAAGAAGGGCAGTACGAAGGCCAGGACGCCGAGTTGCCGGACGACCACATGCAGTATGTGGAGGAGCCGGAGGAGGCACAGCTGTACAGCGACGAAGTGCTGGACATCGAGATCAATGAGCCTTTAGATGAGTTCACCGTGAGTCTCCCTCCTTTGTGCGGCCGGCGGTAGCGTGGCTGCCTGGGCAGAGGTTTCTAGGCTGATCTGAAATCCGTTTCCCTCCCTCGGGGCAGAGGGAGATTAGACCTTACTATCACTGTCTGCCAGTTTCTTTATCTGAGCTGTGACAAAGTTCGTGTTGACAGTTGTTTGGCTGGAGGTAATGGCCCTTTGTCATCCTGGAAGGCTGCACGGAGTCTGACCTTGAGGTTGCACCTTAAGGAGGAAAACAGCTTTGTGTGGTGGAGATGCACTGTCAGCTGTTAGAAGTACTTAATGCAGGGCTTTTATCCAGGCTTTAGACAAGATCTGATAAAGTCCTTCCAAGGTGAAAAGATTATTGACCTGCTAAAGACATCTTTCAGGTGCTAATATTCCAGCGTGATTGATGTCCAGTTCATTCATCCTTTTTTGTAGCTGAGAACTGTCTAAACATGAATAAAGAGATTGGGGGTTAGTTTTGGAAATGTCACACATCATTTGTTATCTGTAATCAGGAAGCAAAGATTGTGCTGATTTCTGTTTCAGAAGGGAGGTTTTGATAGGCGGCTGTTTTAAAAATTGAACTGTCAAGAAAGCAGAAGGTCCTAGTGAAAGGTTGCTCATCTGTCTTAATGGTTCGTCACTGAAGGATACTTGTTTTTAAAATACGCACTTAATGACATTTGTGTGGGAAGGACGTGATATCTATGGGTAGACTCTTGGGGTTTTCGTGATGCTGTAGCTCCAGGCGGCGTGTGTCGCTGGGCTGCCAGGACTGGGTGGCGGCATGCAGAGTTAGGGTAGTAGCTTTGCCTTTAATCTCTTAATGTTTTTGTTCAGAAGAAGCTTGCTTTTGAGAAAAAATTCCAAAATCTCAACTTTGGCCATGGGTCATCCATATGTATGAATGAGCGTAATTTTGAAAGAGATTGTTTAGTGGGACCTTAGAATATTTATTTCTAATCATAATTGTGTTTATCTCAGTAGTTATTTTTAAGATTTGATTTGTTTTGAATGCTTTCTGACACTTCAGTAGATAATACAGTAATGAAAAAATGTTTGTCGTTCCGGTAACTAAAGTCATGGAAAAGGCGTCATGGCTGCTTGTTCTTTGGATAACGGTTGTGGTTTATTTTGGTCCTAAATCCCTCACTGGTGTGGACAAGTTCTCTTCTGGTTTGCTGGGGCGTCTGTATGCTGTCTGAGAGTGGGGTACCATGCGTTTAAAAGGATTCTTAAAGATTAAGCCAAGATCTTTTAAAAACGCACCTAGTTATTCCCTGGTTAGAGCGTTTTATTATTTCTCCTGGCAACGGTGAGAGCAGGTGACCGGATGGTATGTGGGTCCTTTTCCCTTGTAGAGTCAGCAGATCAGCACTTCCGTCCTGATGTCCAGGCGCTGGGGGCACCAGTTGTGCCAGCACAGGAGACCCGAGGCGTGGCCCCTGCCTTCCGTGCACTTAGAATTTGGGGGAGCAGATCCGGGGGAAGGTGCCTGCTTGGCAGCGTGCGTGTGCGGTGTTGGAGGGGTTTCTCACGGCGGCCTCCTGGCCGAGTTTGTTGTACAGAGAATTCTGGTAGGCCAGGACTGCCCTCTCCTGTGTTCCATGTCAAACACGAGGTTGCATTTGGGCTCCGGGATGTGTAAAATCCAGCTTGGTTCTCCGACGTCTTGTGGTCTCGGAGTTCCGATCCGAGAGAAAAACGCTGCGGCCGTTCAGTACCCCGCGGTACTTTCCCACATCAAAATGAGAACTGGTTTCAGAATTTAAAAAAGCCCTCAGCAGTTTTGCTTAGGGTTTCTGAAAGCGTCCTCGTATTTTCGCAGGGAGCCGCATGGAGAGGTGAGGCGGGTGTCCTGCGAGCCGCGTCTGCGCAGCTCGGCGCCCGGCGCTTACGGCCTCGGCCGCTCTTCTCCCTTCCTGTCCCTGTCGGGTGGCGGCTTCGTCGCCGTTAGCCGGGGCTGGAGCGAGCCGCTGCCGTGTCTTCGGACGCAGGGGAGGGCCAGCCGGCCTCCAGCCGCCGCGGGGCTCCGGCTGGGGAGCGGGGCGGGCTCCTGGCCTTCGCCGGCTGAGCCCGCGGCGCGGGGAGGGGCTTCCTCCCGGCGGGCGGGCGGGGCCCGTGGGTCCCGGTGGCATTTCAGCCTATGGGATGGTTTCTTCGCTGCGTGCCGTGTCCTGGGTGGGAATGGTTAACTTGGCCTCTCGAGCTAGAACCCAGCTCGGTGACCTGCTGAGTGTGAGCACGTAACGCGTTCTGGGGCGCGCTCCTGAAACCGAGTGGCTGGGTGCTGCGCATAACTGGGAACGGAGTCCGAGAGCCCCTCGCGGGGGCACGTGGGCGTGTGAAGACGCGGAGGCCGCGTGCGCAAGTGGGTCGTAGGACTCCCGTGTTCTTCCCTCGGAGACTCAGAAGCCCGACGGTCCTTGGGTTTCGTGAATTTTGCCAGTCCTCTTCTTGAGAGTGACTTGGGACTTGATTTAAAAACGTGTACTCTTGTGTTAAGAGACGGTGATCCTTATTATTTGACAAAATATGAGAAAATGGTCGAGGATGTATACTTTTAAGCACAATCTTTTCAGGGTTTTTAAGTTCCTGTAGACGGAGATTTCATAAAACATGGGTCTATCAGAGCAGTTTCAGGGGCCTCGGGGGAAGGGCAGCAGGTTTTTGTTTCTTGGGGAGGATCCAGTGGCATCGAATATTCTCCGTTGTGTCTCAGCTGAAAATTCTGATGGCCGTCACTGGCCTCACTCGAAGTCCAACCGTTCTGTCAGTGAATTGTGAGGGTGACAGTTTCTCTTTTTGACGGGACGGTTTCTTCTGGAGCGTGAGATACAGTGTTCAGGCAGCCTTGAGAGACACTTGTGGGACCTACGATGGTTTGTCCCCTTGAATGCAGCTGGTTTCTTTGGGGATTGTAGGTGCGGCGTCCGTGTCCCGCGGTAGCTTGCCTCAGGTTCTGGTCGTGCTCACTCTGGCTTTCTTGGAAGCAGCCGCTGTTGTTCGGCGGATGCTGGCAGGCAGGGTCAGCTCCCCCGCGCGGGACCAGAGGTTCCTGTTCCTTGACCGTAGCGTGTAGGAACCCTTCCTTGTCTTGGAACCATCTCGAGCCCGCTGTCTGCTTCCTTCCATGTGCCCTTCGAGGGAAGTCTGCCGCTGGTGTGCCCCTTACGCGTCGCACAAAGCTGGAACCACCCCTCCGATTGAAGGGATGCGCTGAGGGAGAAGCAGATTCTAACGCGATCTTTAACGAAGCTCCCGTGTTGAATTAACAGCTTATACTTTTGTTGCCTTTTACTGCTGTAAAAATGGTGCACGTTGGGTGTGATGTCGGCTCCCGTCCTGCTGCTGGGCCGCGCGAGCACAGGCCCCTTCTCTCGGAGACTGCTGTCCCTTAGTGCGGGCTGTAAGAGGGGCGCGGGGCTGGAGCACCCCGTCTCATTAACCCGGGCGAGGCCGCGCCGGCTGCCTGTGCTTCCTGCTTTCTGCTTTGTGGGGTGACTGCCCTTGTCACGTTTGCTAAAATAATGAAGCATGCGTCGTGAAGATGCAAAGTGCTTTCAGGACCCGGAGCTGTATGAGGAGGACTTACTTTCTCTTTAATGGCTGTCAGGAGGAAGAACGCTTGCAGGCTTGTGGGCGGCGGGGGCTGCGAGGGCAGGAAGACTGTGTTGCTGAAGATGGATTAGATGAGATCACTGACCCCCAGGTTGCTCCTGAAGCGGAAGAGGTATTTGTTCATCTTTTAAAAAGAGTCCAAAATTTTGATGTTTTTTTTTTTTCTTCCAGGTTTAAAATGAGCCTTTTTTTTTAAGCATTAGTGAAAAGTTGATACATGTCTTCTTTGAACTATGTGTGCAGAAAAAGCCTGAGCTTTCTAGAGTCTTTGGGCAGTGAGTTCTGGTGAGCTGCGATTTCCACTTAGCTCTTTGCCCTGGAAGTGTTAGAATATTTTCAGTGTTTTATGGGGGCGTGGGTACAGATCTTTAAAAATGTGATGTATGTGTTAGTGCTCTGAAAGGATTGCTGTAATCATTTTAAATCAGTTGACGTTCGTTAGTTAAGAGCATTCTTGCAAAAATACTTCCAGGCTCGTATTTAGGTGTTACCTTGCTTGGGTGGTTGGTTGAGAAGCTCGGCCCCTGCTCTCCGGGAACGCGCGGTTTGATACAGGAGAGGGGAGACACGTGGGCAAGTCCCTGTGACGTAGGCCTAGAAGAAGTGAAGTCCGCCAGCACGGGCTCCGGTCCCTGCTGCAGGAGCTCGCGGAGGGGCCCTCTGGTTGGGACTGGGTCTCGGGGTGCGCGGGGAAGGGCGGTGGGGAAGCGTTGAGGCTTGGCGAAGAGGTGAGCTGTGGGCTAGTCTGAAGAGAGGTTTGGATGAACAGAGGTGCTGTGAGGCGCGTAGGCCTTAATAGATTGGGCTTCCCGACCTGCGAACTTGTCTGGTGGGCCTGGTGGGCCAAGCATGTAAGCCATGAAATCATTCTGTCGCCGTACGATCTGTTGGTTTAGAAGCGGTTTTTCCTTACTAATATTTTTTTTCCTCAGTTACTTTCCTTAATAACTTCTCCTCCCTTTATTCCAAAAGATCACGGAAAGTGATACTTAGTGGCTCGGGTCGTCTGCTTTAGGTACTTAGGCCAGTGTTTAGAAACTCCGCACACGGAACATTTTATTCGCCCTTACTTTTCTCTGACACGGTGCCGTGACCGAGTGCGTGAACGCGTATGCTGTGAGCACTTCCCAGGACATACCCTTTCTCCTCCCTCACAGGCTAAATTTGTCTTTTCTTTTTGTGCTTTCTGTCTCTTGCTATTTGGAATAATTTGAAACTTAGAGAAAAGATAGAAGAATAGGATGGAGAATTCTTTACCCAGATTGTCCAGTTGTAGAAGGAACCAGGACAAGGAGCCAAGCCAGAGCTGAAGAAGATGTTCAATGAGGGATGGTTCCCTCCTCGTGACCACTCTGTGCCGGCTGTCCTGAGCCACT